CTATGTTTCAGCGTGCTTGAAAATGTCATATAGAGAACGAGGTTTACGCGAATAGTTGTGTTTAGAAACGACAGACTAGACTGGAGCGCGGATAGGTGATATAAACAAATGTAACATATACAAAAAGTTCCGTAAACAAATGTTCTGCAAATATAGAAAATAACTTCTAGTATGAATGATAAAAAATATAGTTTCGACAAGAATCTCTTGCAAAAATAGAGACAAGAAAATAATGTTTTTATCTAAAATATCAATGAGAGAAAATACCTGAAGATAAATACATAACTAAATAAGATTAAATTTATAGTTTAATTAATCAAGTTACAGTTTCAGAAATTATCAAATTCTCTATTAAAAGTTTTGAAAAAAACAAACATTTCCACGAAATCTTCCTAGATATAAAATTAATTGAAGTAGTCTTGTGCCAAATATTATAATTATGTATTTTATGCTTTAAACATAATTCTTAAATTCTTAAATTCTTTTAATTTGAGAACATTACTCTCTTAAAGTGATTCAGTGGCTTCAATGCCATACTTATAACTGAATCAGCGAATATTTACTGTTTTTCAATAATACACTGGGCACCTATTACGAAAATGTTCGGAATGGATTCCAATCGTAATTATTCCCTAGATTTCTATTGTGTTTTCTAGGGAAAACGAAATAATTCCGATCGGAATCCATTCCGAACATTTACATAATAGGTGCCCTGATTCACTTTTAGAAGTTAAGATTCTTTACAAGTGAATCTACAGGAAATCCATAACTTCTAAAAATGAATCAGCGTATTAGGTACTACAAATTTATTAGATACTAAAAAACGGTAAATATTCGCCAATGATACATCAGTTGTAAATAGCACTGAAGTCACTGATTTGTTTATAGAAAGTAGAGCTTTCAGAAAGAACATATTTAATTCAAGAATTGAGTGAAATGTTTGCTGTTGCTCGAACTACATCAACAATTTAATCACATTCATTGATGACTAATGACTCGTTAATAATTAATTCCCATCAGGGCATTCGCAGCGATTTATATAGTCTAGCTAAAAAGAGAGAAACAGAACACGAGATTAATTTACTCGGAGATCGCAATGGGTGCGAAGGTTCAATAGGAAGATCATTATGTTGACCTCGCGCTCGATATCGACTGCTTCAATCCAGTTAGAAGAAATAATTTGTATATAAATCGCACTTTATTTCGAATCACCGAGCGCTTTGCCTCTAAATCGTCGGTTTTGAAAAAAACAGTTCATCAATATTTAACAGATCGCAAGATCTACCTCGAAAATCCGGGTTAAATTTATTTATTAATTAAACGGCAATTCAGTTTTTAAGCTTTAGTTATTTTCGAAATAATTATGTTTACACAGAAACTTGTAATTCGCGATGCAGCGACGCATATCTTTTTTGAATGAGATTTACTCTAAATAAATTATTTTATTTTATATATTTGGTAAAAAGACACGAGCGTGTGTAAATACACTCCAAGTACACTCCAGGCTAAAAGTTTGGAGAAATGCTTTTTAAAAATTGATATTTTTGGGATTCTCTCAGTAAACACTAATTAATAGTAATATATGTATAACATCAATAATAATTTCACATTCAACAATATAAATGTAATATAATGTAACACGAAATGTTACATAAATTACATTCTTGAGTGTGAAATTATAACACTGACGTTATGTTACTTTTAGCTGGAGTTTATTGCGTATTTACTCAAACTTGAACAACTCTTGAAATTTTAGGATTACTCAAATGTATCGAATATAATGATTTTTAATAATAACTTTCAGATTCAATAACAGTTATTGAATGTAAGAAATTATTATTAGAAACATTGTTATGGATGTTTTTTAATGATTCTCAAAATACCATTTTTTAAAAAGTTTTTCTAAACTTTTAGCCTGAAGTAAGATATATATCTACACACAGAACTCCTTAATTCGAGGGAATGCTCTGTCATATTAACCGCTATTACAATTATGTACCTCATGTTAAAGATCAAATAACTCTGAGGGATCGACGAACTGAGCGACTATTACAAATAATTTCAATCTACAAACTAAATTTCAAGGTTATGAATGAATTTATAATACATGATCGCCAATTACCTGTTGGACGTTGGGAATTTCTTCAAGTTCTCGAATTTGACTAGCGTTTCCCCGAAATATGTTATATATTTTTGACGTACTTTCGCGAATTTCAAGGCTACTTTATATAAGTAACACGTATTTTTTCTCTTCGCGTTGAAAGAGGCACGTGACGTCCAGGCGACTGACTTCGCGCGACGACACGACACGAAGACGACGGCGACGTATGGTTGCCTTTGGGAACCCCTCCGCCTCTTGCCCTAAGACTCGCTTTCAGTTCATCCTCGTCTTTCGTTTCCCTACCGAGAGAGCGATATCTTGCTTTCTCCCTTCCCCGAGAAAGGGTCCCCCACCATTTTCTCCGAAGGGGAATGAAGCCCCCTCGATCAGCAACCATGGGTAGTGATGGCACTTCAACCTATTCAGATACTGACGAACAACACTCGAAATATCTTTTATTTCTAAACTCTGACCAAACTTTTAATTTGACCGACGTAATTCATTCCGCACGTTATGTTCGTTTTATTTTGTTATATTTTAGTCTATTAAAATTTTGTTAATTTATTTTACTTAATGTATTTTATTTAATGTATTTTATCTATTATATATTTATTTTATTCGTTCGTAATAAATAATGTACCATTTCTAACTTATTTCTATCTTTTTAAGATAAATAAACGTATAACGATAAATACGCGAAGTAATCTTTATTAATAAATTAATTAAAATAGCTGTTGAGATAAGATTAGATTTTTTTATGCATTTATGTCTTTCCGTGTATTTACTTGCACTAATTTTATTTTTACACACATATTAATGAAATTTAATTTATTACATACCTTTTTCTTATATTTTTTATGTATGAATAAATTATATATAATAATTATTTAATATCTATACTCGCTTGTTCACCTTTCTTTATTATCAATACTTATCACAAATTAAGCTTTTTATACATATTTCTATTCTTAATTCCTTTTATTCTCAAATTTTTAACGTTAATCATTAATATTAAATTTTCATGAAATTCAAGATATCTGAATTCATATAAATCATTTCATTACATGAAAAAAATTTTGCGGAAAATTTAAAGCGATATTGCACCGCAGATCGGGCGATAAAAAATTCGAATAATGTGGAAACCCATTTTTATAGGGTTTCGATGTCATCACTAGCCATTGGGGGATTTCCGACACGGAAGGGCCGTATCGATTATTTCTCGCGCCTCGCCACGTTACCTATGCTGAATACTCTGTGAATTTATGCGCACGACTGACGCACGCATGTTGATTTCAAATTAATCACAGGAAACGACGCATTTTGCTTCCTAATTAATGGTTGCAGAAAATGCAGATATAATATCACGGAAAAGGGGGAATAAAAATTCGATAAAAGTTCGAAAAATTAAAAAAAAAAAAAGGAAAACGAGCTCTAAATTTCCCAAATATATCACGAAAAAAGAGGGATAAAAATTTGATAAATATTCGGAAGACAGAGGAAGATAAATTATTTTCGGATCTACATCAACGTTTCGCTGCTGAGCTTGCATGAGTCAGACTTCCGTTATCCATCATATTGAAATTTGCTTTTAACCCTCCGTCTGCAATCTAGGTCAGCTTGCTTTTGGCACAAGCAAAATTTCACTTTTAATTTCTTCCTCAATTTTCAATTTTTATTAAATAAGGTTTTAGTATTTGAGTTGAAAAGCTATATTTGGTAATGTAAGAGAGATTTTAAAAATAACCCTGAATTTTTCTATATTTTTTGAATGCCTAGAATAGTAAAAAAAAAAAATTTGATTGGACAAAAAAGATTCAGATTGCTGATAGAAAGAGTGAAAATATGAATGCAGACAAAATTAATAATATCCATTATTCGCGGATTTAGCATTGCTAATGTCACATGAAAGTAGACACAAGATATTATAAAGTGAGATTATTATAATTATTACGAACTATAAATAGAGTGCATGTATGTATAATTAATAATAACATTTATATTAATAACAATAATGTAATAGCATGTCCTGTACTTTCTGATTGTGAGTGCAATGCTTTTTAATTTCCACGATAAAATTCAATGAGCGTATTTGAACATTTAATGGTATTAATAAATAATTCTCTGTATGTAATAAGCAGACAAAGAACACACATTTCAGTATAACCACGGATTTATTGCACATATTATTGTAATAATGTACGTAATAAAGTGCATTATTTCCCCGTTACAGGCACGCGTTGCTTTTATGAAAAAGTTTAAATTAATTCTCTGATAGAGAATGAAATTCACTCACTGTGCGTAATGAATGTATGTATGGTTCTACTATTTAAAATAAAACAAATATAATAAAAAAAACACAGCGCTCGCACGCGAGTGTAACAGAATGACCGGTAAATAAAATATACAAAATATAACGGAGGAACAATATAGTTAAGAAGGCATACACCACGAACGCCAGATGAGAATGGCTTGAAAATTTATTTGTATTTGAAATATTACAATAAAATAGACGTTTCGGTCTTAAATTAGACCTTCCTCAGTATTACAAAAATAGTCAATAATAATTTATTACGCACATAATTAGTTAAAAATTAACGAATATAAGTTCTATACGTTGTCAGCAGATGATTTGATAACGCTCTTAAATAGATTTGATTTTTGTAATACTATTTTTGTAATACTGAGGAAGGTCTAATTTAAGACCGAAACGTCTATTTTATTGTAATATTTCAAATACAAATAAATTTTCAAGCCATTCTCATCTGGCGTTCGTGGTGTATGCCTTCTTAATTATATTGTTTTAAATTTTTACCACGATATATTCTATTTGGTTTATAACGGAGAAATATTGATGGAACAAAACGCGGTAATGTCGTGAATGAAATAGGCAAGTTCTTACCTACGCAATTGGGTAACTTGGTAGCGGTCTCGTTCCACTTGCCATTCCTACATTCGAGCGTCCTTTTTCTCTCCCTGCTGTCGGGAAACACGCTGCCCGACTTGCACAAGAATGTCCGTGAAGTCAATGTACCGTTCGACACGTAACTTCCGTTCGGCGCCAAGACCTCCGGACAGCCGAGCACTGCAAAACGTATAAGTTCATTTCCACCTTGCCTTCCTAGTTAACACGTTGCTCCACTTTAAAGGGCGATATCGCGTCGCCTTTCAGAGTTTCCAGCATTTTCCTAAGTCCTTCACGTAATTTTCGAACATTTAAACAGCAAAAGCTAGCGAGTTATTAAAAGTTTTAAACACTGAAATAGTTAAAGTAGCTAATGGCGTTTCAAGAAACTTTTTAAATTGGTAAAAGACTTGAAAAGTGGTCTCGGTTGCGAAAATTTTAAAATTGAATTTTATATTGATTCGGTAATATCTTTGATTTTTTTTAGATGTCCGCACTCGAGAATAAGAGAAAAAGAGATTTATTAATGTTCGCACACAGAAAGAAATAAGATTATAAATTCTACCGTTTTCGAAAAAGCAAATATTTTATAACAGTCCATTATCATGCAAAGAAGCTTCTTGAAACGTAAGTTTAATATTACAGAGAATACTGAAGTATTGATTATAACGTAGAACAAGAACATATAATTTACTTTTAGAAAGATTGAAAATATCGATAGGTCAGACATACTTCGTTATAAATCCCAGAACTTATTCAATAATTGTTGAAACCATTAATTAATCTTAATGCTAATTTAGCCCGGATAACATGGTCGACTTAATTTTGCGTAGGTCTGGTTGATAAAATATACACGTACACAGTAAAAAACGTTTTCTATTTGTGTTAAAACAAGTCCTCATTAAAATTGTGTTAACATATCTGACTGTTAATTTAATACAATGTGTTAAGATAATTTAATGTGATTGTGTTATTTGAACAATTTGTGTTAAATTGATATTTAACTTTTCTTAATGTTAAAATAACACAATTTATGAAACCGTAAATAAATAAAACATTAAAATAATATATTTTAAAATGTAAATTTTTAGAAAAATGAATAAAATATCTTAATTTAACATATTATTATATAAATATTAATTTTACTGAAAAAGTATGCTTTCACACACAATTTGCTTAGAAATTGTATCGGTGTTATACTTTTGTATTAATTTTTGATATAATATTTGTGTTACTTTTTAATGTAACTCATCTTATATTAAAAATGTATATCAGGTGTCTCTTTCTCTGAAGAAAAGATTAGAATTGGAAATAGTTTAAATAAAACTTTTCTTATTTTATGTTAATTATTTTTTAAAAACATGACTATTTCTTATTCTGAAATAATTTTTGAAACAGATTCTAAATCGCCGCCAAAATTTGTGTGTTACTTTTAAATACAACATAGAAAAATCTCTAATTTTTTCATAATTTTTCATTTTGTTAAAAAGTACGTGTAATACTATCTTAAATTAACACAAAAATTTGGATGAGCCTTTAACACAAGTTTTCTAATTATGCACCTTTGCTTTATTCCCGAGTTAACCGTTTCGTAACAATGTACGTGTTCGTGGCACTTCTCTCCTATGTTTTCCGAGCTCGGTCTCTCTTTTTTTTTTACCTTGATACTGCAGAAAAAAGCCCCGAGCGTTGTAAAACCTCTTTGAAGCGACGAAGTCGAGGGTCAACACGTTCGAATACGAGACAACTCGCACGCCCGCGGTGGTGCCGCAGAACTCGAAGAGAGTGCTGCCTCTATCCCGCACTCTCACGATGTCCATGCAGTTTCCATCAGCATCTGGACCTGCGATTTATTCGTGATTTCTACCTCTAGTTTGTTTACGAAACGCGTGAAATCAGACGCACCAGGGACGTTTATTTTTTCAACGAGGCGATCGACGTGATATCGTAATCTGATCGGTGTCATATGCAGCGCATGTGCGCTTGCGATGCACCGTTTGTGTGTAGTAAACTAGTTATGTGTTAGCAAATCGTTATTCATTTCGCGGCTTCATAAGAGAGTTAAAGTGGATCGTTGAAATCCATTTTAAATAAAGATCGTAAATTTTTTGATAAAATATACAATGTCATATCGAATGTTGCCCAAGCATCGTATACACGTTTTCAGACTTTATTCAAGTTCTTGAATCCTTCTCTATTTAAACCACAAGTTATTTTCATCGTGGTGAGAAAGAATTGGCGCGTCGGATTCGTTTTCCACAAACAAAGCTAAATCTGCTTTTAGTTCCAATGCGAGCAATACAATTTTTATCAGTTTAACTTCTCGCGCTCTGACGAATGGGTTTCGGAGTTGAGAGGTTAAAACGCGAACTTACCACGGATATCCAAGTCGTGAAATGTTAGAACTATCCTCTGACCATTAAACGTCCTGAAGGTCCACCCGCATGTTTCTCCAATGTAGTATAGAGGGTAACCCGGGGTGTTGAGGTAACCGCCATCTTCACTGACCACTTTCACCTGCTGATTGCAGTATCGTTTAACTGCAACTTCTACAATGAAACGTTATCCCTTCATATGATATGGTGATACAACAATCAAATGAAACATTATCCCTTCATATGATATAGTGATACAAAAATTCACTCATGGCCGTTGCCAGGATTTTGTTTAGGGAGGAGGCCAAATTAGAGTTGAAATGTTTTAACCTGAGGGGAAGGATAGTCGAG